GTGTCGGAGGCCGCTATCCACTTGCGACGTCCGCCCACGCAGGTTGCTCCCCCCACCCTGTTGTGACATAATGTCGTCCCGCCAATTCTGTTGCGACAAGACACTGTGGTGCAGTAATTGCAGTCATGTCCCCAGCGGTTCCCACCATATATTTTTTTGCAATGATAACTGGGAGGGCGTCAGCCCAATTGGCCCAGTATGTTGCGTGCGACGTGCGTGCGGAGTCTTGCAAACCCATCCCGGCAAGCCGAGACGGTAGTCTGGATTGCGTGACCCATTTGATGTAAGGAATGTTATGCCTTGATGCATGTTGTTGTTGCGTGACCAAATTAAGGAATACATATTGAATTTAGGTGTCGTGGTCGTCACACAGGGGTTGCATGTCACACGGCAATATTGCTCGTATTAGGTAGCTCATCCGGGGCATTGCACAGAAATGTAAAAATAGCGACGACGGTTGGTGAGAAGAGAGCTTAGGTAAAATGTTTAATAGTTGCGTTTTTTCGTTGGCAGTCGTATACCAAACTTTAGTGACATAGTCTCCTGTAACATTTTGATGCCCTGCTGGTTTGTCACATTTCTACGCTGTAGCAGCAGGGCCATCCGGATTGTCAGGTCATGGTGTTGGGGTGTTCCCCCATGTCGCAAGTGTCCCAATGTTTGTGCCGATGTAGCATATTTTTTGTAAGACCAGCTCGGACTGCGTATTGAAGTTCGTTTGTGTTGCACACCAAATATATGTCATTAAATTTGTAGCAATTTCTGTTTTTGAGAGTAGACGGTCCCGTATTTGTAGTGGTCCCCGGGTGAAGAAAGAGATATTTCGCCGCACGATAGCAGTTTGCGGAGTGCCTGATTCCGTTGGAATTTTTCGAACACACGCGTGTTTGGTATGCATGGTCGATGTTAACCACCATGTTGCAGCCATTTTTGCTTAATTATATTTGAAATTGTTGGAGCTATTTTCCAAATCAATCGTTTGAATGAATTCCTTGACGCAGTTTCGCGATTGTTGACGAAATGTGTTGTTCCATTTCTTCAAAACATCGACGGACAATTCAATGCGTTCCGTATGTCGTACGGAATGTTTTGTTCTTCTTGATTTCCCTTCCCACATACGCCGCATAGTGCAGCAAACGATGATTTTTCTCAATATGTATACCGTTTTTCCAGTGAACCAGCGGCGAATCCCATTTGGGATTGTCTTAGCATTGCCGCGAACAGATCATGGTTGTGACATGTTCGGAAGTTTGTGGTGGTGGTTCGGAGGCGCATTATGGCCATACAAATACATACCTATCTATACGTATATATATATATATGTGTGACGCAGGCGAAAAAAAAGAAGAGGCGCAAGAGGAAGGAAAAAAGTCACAAAGAACCGTCCATCAGTACTACGAAAGACCCATTCAAATTATGGAATCTTCTTTTTTATGATTTGGAAAAAAAATGTTCATAATATTGTCGGCGCACGGCGGTGGCGTCAAAGGCGAAAAGCAGTCCGTGCTTAATAGCAATTTTGTCGCGGTTGGCGCTGAGTGACACGCAGGCATGCGTGCTTGCCACAATGCAGATGTAATTATTAGTTTGTTGGTGTGTTTCATTTTTCATTTGTGCATTCCACCATGATTGCATTTGCGAATGTGCCCATGGATGCAAATTCGTTGTATGTGTGCTCACACATTGGAAAGGATATCACGTTTGCACAACGCCCGCGCCGTGCTTCAAAGCACACGCGTTCGGAATGACGTGATTGTTCGCTGGGCCGCCTTACCAGACTCTTGTGGTTGGCGAAGTACGGTCGAATACCGTTGCTTGAACGAAACAATGCCGTTCCAAACCGCGCATTCCGAGGCTCGCTCCTTGGCAGTACGGGATTCAGTACGATATCACGTATAGCTTTCGGTATAATGAAAAAAAGTTCAGTATCATTGCATTTGGTTTCAATATCGACGCAGTTGGTATCAATATCATTGTATCCCGGGTTCCTCCCATTCCGGTTTCCTCCCATTCCAGTTTCCTCCCATTCCGGTTTCCTTCAATTATGGCTACTTCCCTTCTTCCTATTCCAGTTTCCTCCCATTTCTCCCATTGCGGCTTCCTCCCACTTTGGTTTCCTCTTATTCTTCCCATTCCGGTTCCCTCCCATTGCAGTTTCCTCCGGTTCCGATTTCTTTCCGGTTTATTCCCATTCTGACCTCTCCTCACTCTTCCTATTCCAGCTTCCTCCCATCATTCTGGTTTCCTTCGGGTTTCGTCTCATTCCTCCCGTTCCGGCTTCTTCCCATCATTTTGTTTTTTTCCCGGTTTTCCCCCATTCCTCTCGCATTCTTCGGGCTGAACAGGACCCCAAGCGAAACGTCTGTGAATTTTGCTATGTCCCGGGTTGCTTATTTGTTTGTTCGATGTCGTTTTTGCGCGCGGTTTCTTGGGCGTTGTTGGACGCTCTTCGCGATGCCGTTGCACATGGTCGAGCCCCGACTCGCCTGGCCCCCCCCCGCCGCAGAGTCCGTGGGCCCTGGCCCCAGAATCAAAAGAGATCTGCGCCCTTGAGTCGAAGGCTCTGGACGCGGGGTTCGCGGGGCCCCAAGTACACAGGCCACCCGCGCGCGCTGGGTTTGCCCCCCGAAATGCTACCGGACGAGGCCACCGAAAGCTGCCCCGAAAGATGGCGGTTTCACATCGGTCGAATCATTTTACCGAAAGATGGGTGAATTATTTTCGGTCTTGTTTTTAACAGTGCGGACCACCATCCGAGGCGTCGACGAGCAAGATTCGGAGCCTTTACGCGGCGCGATTCGGAGCCCCACTCGGGACGTCGATGGGCAAGATTCGGAGCAGGAACGCGGTCGCCGCAGGCACGACTCGGAGGTGGGATTCGGCTACATGAGGTGCGATCAGCGCCGTCCTCAACAGAAGCATCGGAGGAGCCTTTTGGAAGCTTCTCCGGAGCCTCTCAGGATCATCTCAGACTCTTCGCGCTCGCGCCCGCGCAAAGGCGGGCTCAATGCCCCCCCGGCGCTGCGTCGTGAAATGGAACGTGCGATTTGCATCTTTCAGATTTGAAGAGGAAGCCGCATTCACATGCCATCTTGGGAGGGCAATTCAGCCCGATAAGTCAAGTGTCGGCCGCAGCCCCGCCGCGGTCCACCACCTGCTTGCAAGCCTTGCGGAATCGCCCTGCGACGTTTTTGGCCACCGTTTGGGCCTCCTCGGTCTTCAGAATTTGCTTCACCCTTGCGGCGTGCGCAATTTTCCCCAGTGGACGGCGTTTCTTCTGCAGGTCGTCCAAGCCATCAGCATGGGCTTCCTGCGGAGCCACGACCTGCGACCACGACAAAGGCCCGCGACCCGCGCTAACGACTCGCGCCTGCGACCTGCGACGAGCGACCAGTAAGACGCGGCCCGCGTCCGCGTTTCGCGCTTGCGACTTGCGTCGCGGCAATCGCCACGATGGCCAGCTTGCGTATTTTCTGGAAAGGTAGCGCGGGAACAGGATGCACGCGCGCTTGCACTGGCGAATTAAACGGAGTGGGCGGAGTAGAAATTACTCCGCGTGGACATGCATCCCGTCTCATTTTTCATATAGGAATGGGCGGAGTAATTTCGGATCCTGTTTTGAGATAGCAATGTTAGCAGAGGACGCATGTCAATGTTAGGAATATTCAGACGGATAAGAGATTCCAACCTATCATAAAACCGCAGAATATTTTGTCACGGCGGTGTGTATTTTTGCAGTTGTCTCCATCGACTGATCCCCCTCGAATGCGGCGCTGCAGCGGCAGCGTGCCTCTCGCAGGGACATCATCCGACTATGCTCCGCGTGGCAGTCTCAGTCCAGCAAATCCTAGCAATGGCAGCGCGCATCGCGCCGCGATGCCCTCAGTGCAATAAGTCATCGCGTTGAACAGAACCCCAAGCGAAACGTCTATGAATTTTGCTATGTTCCGGGTTGCTTATTTGTTTGCTCGATGTCGTTCTCGCGCGCGGTTTCTTTGGCGTTGCTGGACGTTCTTCGCGGTGCCGCAGCACATGGTCGGGCCCCGGCTCGCCTGGGCCCCGCCGAGGAGTCCGTGGGCTCACTTGGATGGCCGCGGCGGTTGCTAAGTACTTAACATACTTACTACGCTAAGTTAAGTACTTAGTAAGTAGTTAGCGGACTTAGCTAAGTACTTACTCAGTCATTACTAAGTGGCCCACTTAGTAATGACTTAGTAAGTACTTAGTTATCCACTTATAACCAGTTAGCTAATAACCGCTTATAGCTAGTTTGCTAAGTAGGTTATAAGTGACTTAGCGGTTACATTGCACTTGTAAATCGTAAACCCACGTCTTGAAAGAGCTGAGTTTGTTCGTTGAGCGCTGCAGCGCTACAAATTTTGCATTTTGATTTGGAGTCGGTGTCCTGGATTTTTGCTTTAAATATAAGAAGCGCTGCAGCGCTGCCTTCGGATTTACATGAACATGAAGCGCTGCACGCGCTGAATATGAAGCGCTGCAGCGCTGAATGTTGAGTTAAATGCATGGTTTCTAGTTGCACGTTGTTCGGATCTTCATTTTCGCCCAGCTCCGTTTGCAAGGAATTTGAATGCACATGTCAATTATGTTTTGTTGTATTCGTTGTTTTTCAATGGTCGCATTGAGCGCTGCAGCGCTCCAAATTTGATAGCACGTATGTTACTTTGCGCTGCAGCGCAAAAAAATGGTTGTCGTCGTGATGTCGCATCGCGCTGCAGCGCGTGCGCGCTCGTGCTTCATGGGCCTCGGGCTGCAGCCCAGATCAACATTTTTGCTCGCAAGTTGCATGTCCATGCAAGTCGATGTTCACGCGCACGCCGCGCGACAGCTTGTCTCAAGCTGCGGCCGCGCGCCGCATCCGCCGTCGCGCCCGCGGGCTCGCACGTTGCATTCGGCGCTATATATAGCGCTGGCATGGCGCTGCAGGCGCGTCAGGAGGAGCAGATCTTGCAGTACATCGAGGAAAGCAATTCCTCGGGGAGGTTGGCATCGGGGTGGGATCAACTGAAGGAGTTCCTGCTGGCGGAGGGGCTAGCGTATTACCAGCAGGTCCCACCGAACCAGATGGGCATCGACATTCGGAACCGCAGCGGTTCGTTAGTGAACCCTGCGCGGGCTCACAATTTAGGCGCGAAGATTTGCGCCCAGGGCTTCGTCTTGGCCAAGACGGCTGCAGCCACTGCCTTCGAGGCCCCGCAGGGGGCGCAGTTGGAAGAGACCGCGATGGCGAACGACCGCCTTTCGCGGCTCAGCGGGGGTCGGTGCCCCCCGCTGGACTCATTGCGGTATACGTCAGTGGGCGGCTCCCACACGAACGTCTTCCTCCGCTGCGTGCTGGCCAAGGTGCCGACCACAGTGAAGGCGTTGGCAGACTCTCGGGACAACATCGACTTCGAAAAGCTGTGCGCGTTGCATCCGCAACTTGCGACGGACGGCCGTGGTTGATCATCAAGCACGCGGTGGCCAAAGTGAAGGGCCTCAAGAACTTCGTGCAGAGGGCTTTGAACGCCGACGTCAGGGAGGCGGTTCACGAGACCGAGATCATTCGGTCAGGCTGCAGCCTATCCCCACTATAGTATATAGCGGTATGTAGTAAGGACCAGGATGATGCACGAGGAGGGCGATGAGTGGGAGCGCGTTGGGGAGGAGGTGAGAACGAGGAGCAGGAGCATTATATCTTACCGTGCTGCAGCACTTGATCGGCTCGGCGCTTGCTGCAGGCAGGTGAGCGGATGCTCTTGGCACACAGCCTCGCCGAGGGTTCCAGCAAGCCCGATTGGCGCGACATCGCCGAGCAAGCGGGCCACGCGAACCCACCTTGCAAGGCGTGGATCGCTGACTTGTGCAAGTTTGTTGAGCTCGGGCCACAAAACGGAGAAATTCTCCGTGAAACAGATGAAGCCCTCAAGACCTTCATGAATGTGGACGTCTCGGGGCAAATTTTGATGTGCGGCTCTGAATTTTGGCGCAAGTTGAATTCGATTAAATTGGGGAAGCACCAGGAGTCGCACCCGCATGTCGCAGCGGCACTCGTGAAGGCCAACTACTCAGGCGAGCACGTGGTGGATAGCATGTGCAGGACCATCCATAAGCTTGCCGGCGCCCCCTTGTAGTGACATGCGCTGCAACGCATCTATGCATTGCGCTGCATTGTTAGAACTGCGCACCCACCCCTCCCCCCTCCCCACACACACACACACACACGCACCGCTACATTGCTTTATTCCCAAACGCAATCGCTGAAGCGATGGGCGGATCAAGGCAAACGAGATCGCCCACGTCGCGCCCCGCAAGGCGGACGCGGCTGCGGCCGACAACCTCATGGCCTGCGCAAGGTCGCTCGTGAAGAGGTTGGATATCGGAGCGGAGCAGGGCTTCTTGCACATCACAAAGTTGGATGTCCGCTGTGCCATGCACCTGGTGAAGAAGCGAGCGCCAGGAGACCGCATTTTCGGATGCGTAGCAGATATAGCACAGGTATCTTCTCACGCCACCTTTCGTGTGCTCCTTGTTTCCCCCCCTCACTGCTTTTCGCCATTCAATGTCGCTGCGGCGACCCTCCAGAGAGGTCTTCCTCCATGAGCTCGGGGAGCCAGCCCAGCTGCAGATGAAGAGCTTGGGGATCGAGTTCGGCAAGGCGGTGCAGACCGACAAGCAAGGCGATGGCGCACCCGAGTTCCCAGCGAGCGCCGATGCAGACGCGCCGCGCGCGGCAACGTCGTCGCCCGCTGAGTTGAAGAGCAACGTCTTCCGCATGCGGCGTGCAGGGTTCGACGTGGGGAAGCACATCGTCCAGAAGAAGGAGGTGGATGACGTCTTCGAGGTGCTCTCCATCTCGGAAAATGGGATCACCGCTCAGAAGAAGTTGCACGGCGACCTGGTGGGCGAAGAGATTTCCATTGCGTGGTTGCAGCCACCCCGCCGCCCGTGGGGAGCAGGGAGGGGGGAGGGGGAGGTAGTAACTGCGATATTGGATTTCCTGTACTTAAGTTGCAATGGGTTGGTCGATGCGCTGCAGCGCACGGAGCAGTTAGCCGAGCGGGCGGATTGAAGTAAACATATTGCTCGAGAATTACAAGTTGACGCCCAGGGTGCAGGAGCAGTTGCTCACGAAGGAGCACTTGCCGCCAGCCCACGAGGGTTGGGCGATGGACGCGTTCAAGGGGGCATGCAACATGGCGCTGCGGCTCCAAGCGCTGAAGTACCAGGCGAACATTTTGCACTTGGAGATACTGCAGGACCCACCTGCCGTGCGCTGCAAGCGAGCGTTCAAAGTGGGTGAGCTCGTCAGACTTGTGCTTCCGCAATCGCCCGCGCCCCCCTCCGACGACGCCGCGCTGCAGCGCTGCGCTGAGAACGAGGCAGCGAGGATTTCGGGGCACGTCAGGCCGTAGCGACGAGGTCAGTGATGTTACCGACTGCGCGCCATGTAGCTCCACGCGGTGGGAGTGGTCGCATTTCAGCCTCGTCCACGCGGGTCAGCACGGGCTGCGTTGCGGAGAGCATCTCGTTGGGGAAGGTTGGCCTCTACGAGTTCTTCGTGGGCCCGCAGTTCGCAGGGCCCCCGCTGAGGGGTCGCGGGGCCCCGACGCCTTTGTCAGCCCCTTCTGGGTGGTGGCAAAGTCCGACTCAGAGCCCAACATGGAGCTCGGAAAGGAGACCGTGACGTTCGGGACAGGCGTCAACAAGGTGCAGGTGGGGGTGCCCCAGATGGATAACACTTGCGCCTTGTCCGCGGGCGACTTCCCGGTGGTGAAGCCGTGGCCGCGGCTGCAGCCGCGGCCAGCCAAGAAGCTCAGGACGGCCTGAGCTGGCGATATAGAGGGACCACGCGGGAGGATGAGGCAGGAGGGAGGGGTGATGCGGAGGAGGAGGAGAAGGAGGCAGGGTAAGGTTTGGCATAGGGAGGAGGATGAGGGGCCTTAAGGAGCGGCGAGCGCACATGACGGCCGCGGCGCTGCAGCGCGCGGAACGATTCGTTGCGCCAGCATCGTCGCTGCAGCGACTGTACAATATTGGTGTTGACATCAGCCTTTCCCACAGACATGCCGCTGCAGCGGCTTTGTCATCACTGTTGTGCTCGATGTGATCGTTGCTCTTCGCTTCATCTTTCACATGCGCTGCAGCGCACCTCATCACGAGCACCTCGTCCGCGCACATGTTGCCTCATCACTCCATCGCAGCAATTTTGGCGCTGAAGTGCGACCGCGCTCGGGCTGCAGCCTCGGCGCGCCGTGCGCGCGATGACGACGATCAAGCGCGACCGCGTCGTGTTGCACGACAACCGTACGGGGCGCGAGCTGGTCACGGCCGTCGATGTCATCGGAGACCGCGAGTGTATCACCGTGACCATCGTAGGTTGGAGCAAGTGGGTGTGCGGCAAGGCTCAGGGCGTGCGAGGCACGATGTTCCTAACGTGGCTGAAAAATCAGCGCGCCGCGTCGTCGGGGCCAACGGCGCCGACTACGCTCTTCGCTGCAGCGGAGCCAGGCCGCCGCCCGACCACGCGGTCCGGCCGCGCCAGTCGCCAGGTTCCAGTGGACAAGTGCTTCAAGGCAGTGCAGCTGCCGCCGCTTGGCGATACGGAGGCAACAGAGCTGCAGATTGTCATTCCCCCACCTCATAGGGGCGGGAGGGACAAGCTGCAGGTGGTGCTGCACGAGAAGGGCGTAGAGTACATCAAGGCCAAATTGCTCCAGGAGGCGGCGGAGGCGGCAGAGGCGAGCACGGTGCTGAAGCGCCCGCGGCGCCACGAGACCGACGTTCCTTGCGGCACCCGCATCTATTGGGTGCAGCGGCTCCAAGCTTGGCGGGCCGCCCGCACAGACTGCGGTTGCAGCAGGACGGCCTTGTTCCGCACAAACCGCGGCTGCAGCAAGGATGACGCTGAAGCGGCCGCGGCGAAGTGGCGCACCGCCGAACTCAAGGATTGCGAAGCGGATGAGCTCCAGGAGATGGAAGCGGAGGCGGAGGGCGATGCGGAGGAGGAGGAGGCCGACTCGGACTGAGCTGCGGCGCGCGCGGTCGACCGCATCGCTGGGGCGTGCGATCACGGTCGGCAGTGCGATTGAGAATGGCAGCGAGGAGGACGAGCACGAGGACGAGGGCGAGGAGGAGAAGGAGGAGGAGGATTGGGATAATAATTACGGATTGTTGGTGGATCCCCCCAATGTTCGCTACTGTTGGTGTCATTGCGAATCGTTGGTATGATCAAGCGTGCTGCAGCACGACGACACTACGATCAAGTGTGCCTCTCACGCGTTGCCGCCGTCGATGTGTGACCTCACGGCGCTGCAGCGCTGACTTACGTTTCGTGTGTTTGGAGTCCATCGTGCTGCAGCGCCGATTTACGTTCGGGTGTCTGGCGTGCCGATATCAGATTTTTGCGTCGCGCTGCAGCGCTGGCTTACATTTTGTGTGTCTGGCGTGTTGATGTAGCGCTTCGATCGCGCTTGCAGCCCGTATGTTCGCTTTATGTTATTGCATGTGGTTCGCAGCCACCTGTGATCAGAACATCAATGGCTGCCAGCATGAGTGCAGTGACGCCGCCATGGCGGCTTCCCTCGGAGCCAGTGCCGCCGCCGAAGGCGAAGTCCGCTGCATCGGATGCGACATATGCGGCTACTCCCCCTCCTCCGCCGCCGCCGCCGCCACCACCGCCTCCGACGTCGACGAGGACCGCGGCTGCAGCCGCCAGTGATGTGCCAGCCCCGCGCGCGGCTGCAGCCGCGCGCAAGCGCGATGCTGAGACCAGGGTTGGCATGTGGAAGCTTGTGTGCGACATGATTCGGGAAGCGCTTCAGCGCGGGGACCGCGAGGCAGCGGTTGCGCTGGCAGTCCAATACCACGTCGCGAAGAAGCCGCGGAAGTGACGGGCGCGCGGCGCGCGCGCGGTCAGTGCTGCAGCACCACTGTTTCAGTCGGATACAGCATCGCGACGGCGGCGACGGCGACAGAGACAACGACGACGGCGTTAAAGACGACGTAATTCAGAGCAGTGCATGCAGGAGAAGAAGGTGGAGGGAGGATGATGATGAGGAGGAGGAGGGTGATCAGGAGGACGACGACATTGAGGACGACGTTCTGGAACGCCCTCATTTTCACAGGTTCCCACCGCTCGCTGCCAGCACCTCGGAGCAGGGGAAGGGGGAGCAGGATGATGATGATGATGAGAGGAGGAGGAGGAGAAGGAGGCCGAGGACGAGGAGTATGACGAGGAGGAGGAGGAGGAAGACAACCAGTTGGCACCCATGCCCCGCCCCCCCGATCCTTCTGCCTATTCCTGCCTCCGCATACTCCCTCTCCTCCTCCTCCTCCTCCTCCTCCTCCTCCTCCTCCTCATCCTCCCTCTCATTCTCCTACTCCTCCTTCTCCTCCTCCTTCTCCTCCTCCTCCCTCTCCTTCTTCTCCTCCTCATCCGTGTCCTCCTCCTCCTCCTCCTCCTTCTCCTGCCCCCCCTCCTCCCCCCCCTCCTCCTCTCCCTCCAATCCTCCTCCTCCCCCTCATCCTCCTCCCCCTCCTCCTCCTATCCTGAGGGGGCAGCCCTGGGGAGGTCAATCCAGTCGTTGGCCTTCGGAGGTTCAGTTGGGGGTGATGTTACTTTGCGGGGTGATGTTACTTTGGGGGGTCAGTCGACTGGTTAGCAGGGGTCCATCGTCGTCAGCGTCGTCGCCATCGTATTCGTCGTTGGCACCGCCGCTGTTTTTGTTCCGTGCAGCTGCAGCTGCAGCTTCGCGCGCTGCAGCGTCGCGCGCCCGCGCGCCCGAGTGCAGCTTCAGCTGCAGTGATGGGACTGGTTTCCACCACCACTACCATATGTTGGAGAAGGAGGAGGAGGAGAAAGAAGAGGAGGAGGAGGACCTCTCCCTCCAACTTATGGTACTGGTGGTGGAAACCAAGCCCATCATGCAGCTTGGCGAGCTGCAGCTTCGCTCGCTGCATCGCGCAGCGATGGCGTCGCAGCTCGACTACGACGAGGACGCCGAGGAGTTCGCCGTCCTGCGGCCGACGCCGCCTGCGGCGCCGCCGCCAGGCGCGC